CGTCATGGTTTTATGACCAATTAGCTGCGTCTGTACGCAGACAGGGTGTTCGCGTACATTGAATATGTCTTCATGTGAATAATGGAAATGACACTCTCCTTTCGAGAGCTGGGAAAATTAGATGAAATAAATTGAATGCAAGTGCCCATACTTGTGCCAGACACACAGTATTTTCTTGATAAAGCCTAATCTCCCCTTTTTTATGTTAATAAAAATTTATATTTTTGTAGTTTTTATAATTCCTATTCTGTATGAGTTTTAGGATCTAGAGTGTTCTAGGAGCTAAAGGCCTCAAGGTTATTAATTCTACGCAGTATTTCTACATGTAAGAAAATGGAGTCCAAGGATTTTTTTTGCCTCAGGTCACAAAGTTAGTTGTAGGGAAAGCTTTCAGAGACAGTGGACCATAGTGAATTAAAAGCTTTAGAAAAAGGGGATCCCTGGGTGGCTCAGCAGTTTAGTGCCTGCCTTTGGCCTAGGGCATGATCCTGGAGTCCCGGGATTGAGTCCCCGGGCTCCCTGCATGGAGCCTGCTTCTCCCTCTGCCTGTGTCTCTGCCTCTTGCTCTCTCTGTGTCTCTCATGAATAAATAAATAAAATCTTTAAAAAAAAAAAGCTTTAGAAAAAGAAAAATAAAATAAATAAGTAAAAGCTTTTGAGTCTGACAGATCCACTTTTAAGTCCACAAGACATTACTTTCTAGCTTTGTAATATGGAAAAATCAACTTCTTTGTATTTCAAATATTTTATCTTTAACATGTAGGTTATATCTCAGAGTTGTGAAATTTAAATGAGATACATAAAAACATTAATTCATGTGTAGTAAATGAAGATGGGAATTATAATCTCCATAGTCATTCAATTATTTGATCATTCAATTTTCATGTACAAATATCTGACATTTGTTTCATCTGATAGCACCTCAGATACTTGACTTTAAAATCTTACCTGAAAACTCTAAGAATTTACTGTAAAGCAGTAATGAAAACAGTGGGTTATATAACAACCAATTCCAGTTTAATAAGTGACTACTTCCAGAAAATTCCTAACAACATAAAATAAACATCCCTAAGTATGTGTTGGTTACTGGCTTATGAAGAAGGACATATGGAGAGCTGTTTTCCCAGGATTAGAGAAAGTCTTATATTCAGTTTTCCAACTTTTCATATTAATCTGACCCTGAAAAACAGTTCAGGTCGTGTGTTTTGTGTTGAACGGTATAACCTCTTACTAAGAATTTTCTTTCTCTAAACTATCTGATTTGTATTAGGTTTAATGTTATTTTCAATAATGCAATGTTACAAGTAACTAAATCAAAAGGCTCAGAGGCCTCTAAATGATTTTTGAATATAAACAATCTTCCTCCTTCTACAATATCAACTCTAGTACTTTTTTTTTTTCCTTAAAGGCCTTCTTAATCTTATTTTTCCTGACTCTCTAGTATACTCCTGCTACAATAAGAAGACTGGTCCTTTGGTCCTCAAATCACATACCTTTCCTACTTACGACTGTATTGGCTTGACCTTGGAACCTGTGCTTGGCACATGGCAACAGTAACTGTTCACTATTATTGCCCATAAACTCAACTTTTTTTTCAAGGCCTAATTCCAATCCTTCCTCCTTCTAACTTCTTATCTGGTCTGCTTACAAATACTGTATTGTGCTCCATTCACTCACTTTATTTAACCCAATTTTGTTTCCTATCTTAGCTTTCTTTTCCCTCCACAAAGTTTTTAGGAACTTACATATTTTGATTTATTTACAATTTAAACATTTATATTTGAAAGCATTCTGTGAGTCTAAACATACAGAGGTTCAGGGCAGCCCGGGTGGCTCAGCGCTTTAGCACCGCCTTCAGCCCAGGGTGTGATCCTAGAGACCTGGGCTCGAGTCCCACGTCGGGTTCCCTGCCTGGAGCCTGCTTCTCCCTTTGCCTGTGTCTCTGCTTCTCTCTGTGTGTTTCTCATGAATAAATAAAATCTTAAAAAATAATAAAAAAACATACACAGGTTTAGAGTCCTTTCAATTGCTCCATTGCACCAAACTGGTGAAGCGTATTTTCATGAATGAGGTCTCGAACCTGCATCTAATTAGGATGACTAGAGTCTTTCAGTTTAGGGCCACTTAGTATCAGAAAAGAGCCCTGGATTAGGAAATTAGTCCTGGGTGTCCTGCTCTTAATTGTTTTACGTCGACTAAGACCTAACCTCTACAGACTTCCCTTTCCATATGCAAGAATTCCATAATCTTTTTGGTCCTTCTGGTTCTAAAACAATAATTCCATGAATATATGTATTTGTCACATTGGTCAGTAAATATCCAAGAATCAAGATCCAGGTGTTCGGAACACAATGCATTCGTGTCATATATTCTGTATTTCTGAGATTGAGTTGCAGTATTTCCCCTTCAGCTGGCCCCATGCCCTGGGATTTTCCTCCTGGGTCATGACAACATCATCTGCTGCAAGCAAAGCTAGAAACCCTAATGGTCTGACCACATTCCTTCCCCTCTTATGCCCGACAGCAGATTGGTCATCAGATTTTATTTGTAAATATGCCTTGATTCTATTTCTCTCCTAAGCTTCACTCTAGGGATTGAAGAAAGGAGGATTGCTGTCTCCCATTCATGCCTCAGAAGAAAAGAAAACCATGACTATTAGAGATAAGATGGAACTATCAAAAGTGGAGCATCTGGGTGGCTCAGTTGGTTGAGCATCTGACTTATGATCTCGGGGTCATGAGTTCAAGCCCCACATTAGGCTCCACACTGGGTGTGAAGGACACTTAAAAAAAGAGCTGGCACAAGTACATGAGTTCATCTCTGCACATGCACTCCATGATGTGTACATTTATTCTACAAATGAGACTTCATCACAAATATAGAAAATAAAACCTGATAACAGTATGACAAATTTGATTTCACTCCAGTCAGATACTCCAATCAGAACATCCCTACTCACTTATGTTCTGTTCTTCCACCCACCGGGATTTCATCCTTCACTTCATTTCTTATAAAGCTTTGAATTCCTTCATGATCTAATATCTCTGCTCCATGAATTGCTCAGTCTTCTATCTATAATTTTTCTCTGATAATAGTTATTATTGGGAAACAATGTCAAGCAAAAGACAGCCCTTTCCCCAGTAAATATTTCCATCCATTCCCTCTTCCCTTGTCTATCTCGCCCCACCCCTACCCTCTCCTGCACCCTACCTTATCCTCAGTAGGCTCAGAATTTTCCTGGAAGATGTTGGATTGTATTCACCATGTGCCTGATATTCTGGAGCAGTGGTTGTTAAATTTTTTTGGTCTCAGAAATCCATTTTACTCAAAAAATATAAAAAACTTCTAGATTTATTTATATGGGTTATACCTATGAATATTTACCAAACAAACAAACTAAAACTGAGAAAACTTATTAGAATATGTATTTTAGATAAGTCCTTGTCTTGTTAATATAAATAACATTTTATGAAAATAACCATATTTTCAAGAACAAAAAAAAAAGTGAGAAGAGCAGCATTGTTTTACATTTTTACAAGTATCTTTATTGTATGCCTTAACAGAAAACAGCTGGATTCTCATATCTGCTCTTGAATTTAATGTCTCTATATCACACATCCTGTAATTTCTAGAAAACTCCATCATACATTCATGAAGTCATGAGAATGAAAAAAAGGCAAATAACATGTTACTGTTTTCAAGAAAATAGTTTTGGCCTTGTGGACACCCTGACAGCTGTGTATACTTTGAGAACTGTGCCCGAGGGTAAAGAGAAACCACCAGCTCTCTTAAGCATTAAGGGTTCAGATCACAAAGAAAATGACAATCTCTCCCTCTCCAAAGACTTGTAATTCAATCATGTTGCAGACAGCCTTTGCTTCTCTATTGCAAAAACTCATGGTTGACTCATTGCTGCTTCCATTTTCGGAACAGCCTCCCCTCCTTTTCTGCCCTCATACCTCCCATAGTGAAGAACTGTGCATCTTTAAAATGAACCTCAAGTTTCTTTTTTATTTATGAAGCTTTCTCCACCACTTCAATTCTTCTGATTGGCATTGACCACACTTTCTGGACCTCATGTCCTCCTAGCCTGTAGCACTTTATTTTAGTAAGGCATATTAGCATGAGCCTGGAAATAGGAGTTTGGGATTTAACTTCTGACTGTATTTGCTGGTTGCATGATCCTGAACGAGTCTTCAAGATCTTGTTTCCAAGTGCTTTGGTTCCTGACCTATAAAATAGATGCTTCATATGGATTTTGTGAAGATTAAATGAGATAATTTCTATAAAGTGATAACAGTTCCTACCAGATACTAAGAGCTCAATAAATGTCAATCTATCCCTATTTTTATTATCATAATTGTTATTACATTTATGCCTCACTTAAATAAATGATATTCCTATATCTACATGTAATGACCAAAAGATAGAGATCCCTCAATCAGATTTATTTAATAAATAGATTTAATATATAGATTTTGTAGACCTTGTCTTTTTTTAGTCATTTGAATAATAGCATATATTTTGAAATGAGTCAGCATAAAGGAGCAGAAAGAATTCTGGACCAAGAGGGCACAGTGCTTACTTAACTACACATTACCAGCTAATAGATCTTACACAGGAATATCAGCATTTTAGAACTTCCATCTACAAAATGAGCAAAGATGTTTTTTGCTCACTTCCCAGGATTTTTGAGAGGATCATAAGAAAAAAAAGTGCACCCAAAGCAAGCCAAAAACTGCAAAGGGTCAAGCAAATTATAGGGACTTACGGCTGCTATTATTTTTTAATAGAATTGGTTGGTAGTTTAGTAATGTCTACTTTCTAATAGACATTCTTAATTTTCTTATGTGAAGCATTTGCTTTATTAAAAAATTAGATATATCAAGGTATGAGTGAACTTAAAATTCTTTATTACCAAATGTGGAACATAAAAAAATTGAAACCAAAAAGGAGTATGTTTTATGATTTACAAATGATCTGTGTTTCATCCCTTGCAGGTGCCTGTGGTGGCCATATTGGGCTCAGGTGGAGGGTTCCGAGCCATGGTCGGATTCTCAGGTGTGATCAAGGCGCTGTATGAATCAGGGATTTTAGATTGTGCTACATACATTGCTGGTCTTTCTGGCTCCACATGGTTAGTATACATTTTAAATCTTAGTTATATTGTGCTAAGTGTTTACCATTTATCTACCTGAAACCTTAGAAAAGAAAGGAAGACTTAGAAAATTGAATGTTAACTTCAAATTACTGAAGTGTTCCAGCTGGATGCAATAATTTGCTTCTTAAAAATGTTTTTTGGGGTGCCTGGGTGGTTCATTCAGTTAAGTGGCTGTCTTCAGCTCAGGTCATGATCTTGGGGTCCTGAGATTGAGCCCTGTGTTGGCTCTGCTCAGCAGGAAGGCTGCTTTTTCCTCTCCCTCTCTGCTGTCTCTTTCTCAAATAAATAAGTTAATTTTTTTAAAAAAATGTTTTTTTTTAAGGCAAATTCACAACTAATAATGACTTTCTTCATAAATTTACTCCTTTTAAGCCTCTTTGTAACTTAAAATGTAGTTAAACATAAAATTAGAAAATAGATCAATTGAAATTCTATATAAAGATCACAGAGGTGGAATAACATGCTCCACCCATAATTAATTTAATCTTCCTATAATTTGATGATTTGTAATCTTTCAGCAATCATGTCTAAGTCTACATGATTCACTAGGTATTCATTTTCTTCTCTAGGGCAAATAGAATGAAATGCAAGATGTCTTAGTATATAGAAGAATAAAAACAACTATTGAATGCAAAAATGGAATAAGTTTCACTGATTGGCATCTAATTATGAAATTAATCCTTTAAATGTATTTAAGCGCAGCTAAATTTGGATAGAGATGTAAAACGTCTGTACATATAATATTTGTACACTGTAGATTTGCCTTTTCACAAACATTTGTGAAACATGTTCAAAGAACCTCCTATGTACTTTTTGGTTTGCCTAACCCACAGATGCACATTGAAAATCAAATATTATTTCTTCCTCAGATGTCTCAACTATGAGTGTCACCTTATTACAAAATGTCTGACTTTGACTTACAAGGCTTTTTAGTCATTCAGCCATAGTAAAGTTCATCTAGCATACTATACTATATGTGTCTAGCATTTTAAGATTTCTGTACCTTCTCGTCCTGAGATGGATCTGAGTTTTTTCATTTTTAACTAAAGAAAATTTGACTCAGAAGCCAAGGGATTTGTCTAATATTGCTAGCAGAATCAGCACATAGAATCAGGCTTTTGATCTTTTAGTCTAGGATTCTTGAAATTAAACCATAGCCTTCTCTTGGACAGCCCTATGTTTTGCATTGAGGTTCATGTATAAAGAATCTATAGTTTCCTAAATATTTTTAATCAGATTCTTTAGCTAAAAAACAAAAATAAAAAAAAAGAAACAAAAATTTAGAACTATATTTGCCACCTTCTTTGTATGTACCCTCAAAATGATTTATCTCTTTTGAAAGAAGGGTGTAGCCCATCATTATTCTTTCCCTTGAAGGAAAGAGCAGGCACCTGCCTGTTTAATGAGTAATATGATGGAAAAACTTGGACCCTTAGATTAATTGGTCTCCTCAAACATTTCATTATTACTCTCTGAGTGGTTTTCTTCCTCCGAATTCACATTTGTTAGATCCCTGTGGTCCATCACTGACTAGTACATTGCAACAAGCTTACTTTCTTAAACTCATCTAATAAAGACAGAGCAAGTATGATTTGGGTTGCTGATCTGAGGATATAAAAGTGTGTTTTTAGGCTTAATTAGAGCTGCACTCATTGCTTTGGTTATGAATTGGGGGCAACAACTTATATTCTCCTGTCAGAGTTCTAAAAACAAGTCCTGCAAAATGTAATTAAGGGCATTTGAAATGTTACAGGCCAGTCATTTAACTATCAGAGGCCACATGTTGATATGTACATAAACTTCTGCTCTATCCTTCACTGTCTAATTTCCTCAAGATTAGCCTTCTCTTATTTATTCCATTTCCTTGAAAGCCACTCTCTCTTAAAATCCTTTCAATTGATTTTCACCTAGCAACCACCTAATTTCCAAATATAATGATGTCTTTTGAAGTTCTTTTCCTCCTTGACGTTTTGGTGAAGTCAGGGAAGATGAGGTTGGGAGTTGAGACATTTCACACGGTACCTGTCCCTCTTTCAAATCCCCCTCCTATGCATCTTGGTTTGTACTTCATCCTCTCTAATTGCTCTGTCCGCCATACTGTCTTTACTACTTGCACGTCTTTACTCCTTAACGTGAGCTTTCCTCCAGGACCTCCCTTTTGTTCTGTTCTAGCTACACACCTCTCCCTTGGGAATTTCACCAACTTCTACCATTTCAGTTATTACCACCAATAATTTAGTTCATGGGACTCTAGAACATCCCAAAAGCCAATGAACCAGAAAAGGAAAGAAATATCTTCTGGACAAGACAAATAGCTGTCAGAGAATCGATTAAAAGATGACCCAGAGGTCAAGGATGGAGAGAAGTAGTGGATCTTTTAATAGGGTGAAACATCTGTGAACAGCTTAGCTTAGAACTGGGTTTGGAAATCTTTAGTGATTTTGGCAAGAATCACTGAGGTAAATAAAGAGCACTTTTGAACATGAAATTGCAAATAGAAGTGAATAGAAAATGAAAGGAAAAAGGGTAGGTGGGTAAACCTACTGGAAACTGTTATTTCAAGAAAGGGAATATAGGATTCATATAACTAAGTGTCTTAGTTTTGTTTTCAGAATTTAAGAAACTTGGATATTTTTGTAGAAGTCTGAGTTAAAGGAAACAGTCTTGAAGGTTGGATGGAAGGTAAAGAAATAGAGGGTTCATGGATAGAAAGAGATTCAGACAGAGACAGGACAAGACAAGATAAAAAGCACAGGTGAAAGCCCTTCATCATGGAGAGAAGAGATACTTCCTGAGACAGAAGAAAAGGTGGTCAGGATGATTCATGTTAGTTTTCTCTTGAAAAGTATAGGTGAGATGGTAAAAAAGTTCAAAGGAAGGAATTCGGAAGGACTTGGATAAACAAATTACACTCTTGTGTTGTGTAAGTTTTTATATTCTGCTGACACATGACCATTACTTGGCACAAATGAGGTAATACGGAAATATTTGGAGAAACCCTGGACCTCCCAAAAAGTTTTCTGTGATCACAAAAGAGAATTTTATGTAGGACAAAGGCTTCCCTTGTAATGGCCACTACCTTTATGGTGATTACCTCTTAAATTATTTTTGGATGATACTTGTTATTCATTGCATGTAAGTATTAGCCAACTAGTCAACACAACTTCTCCAGTACAGCTCCCCCAATACAGCTTCATTTGCAGAATCATAAGGCACTATGGGATCTTAACTGCCACTGTGCTCGTATGGTGTTGCCATCCAAAGAGAAATAAGAGCAGCTCTACATCTATAACAGGGTTCAATTCATTAAACTGACTAAAATGGAATTCAATAATGAGAACTTCCAGTTCAATGGTCTGAAGAATTCCTGCAGCACTGAAAAATGAAACAATTTTAGGAGACGTTGCCACTTTAGAGGCGATAGATGAAAAGATCAAGATGTAAGTTAGAGAAAATCTGTTGTTTGAGGTGGGAACTGTGTTTGTCTTGTTCACTAGGGAGTATCACACATCTAATGACTAAATGAGGATTTGTATAAGTATCTGCATTTTGAGGAGAAAATTAATCTAGAGATTTCTTTAGCCTTATAGGCTATTCGCCTCAAGGGTCTTCTCAATTCATTCCAAATTTTAGTTGCTTTTGAGACTTGCTTTTGACACTTTTTTAAGCATAGAACTTCTATATGTTTACCCCTAAGGATGCTGATTTGCCAAGGCCTTGGAGGTCAGGTATATTTTAAAATATTGGCTATGTGATTTGGAAGAAGGGATTGCACTGAGAATTCCTTGTGGAATTTTTTAAAGATTTTATTTATTTGAGAGCATGCATGAGAGAATGACCACGTGAGTTGGGGGAAGGACAAGAGAAGTGGGTGGAGAGGGACAAGCAGACCCTGTACTGAGCATGGAACCCACATGGGCCCTCAGTTTCATGATCCTGAGACCATGATCTGAGCCGAAACCAAGAAACAGATGTTGCTCAACCACCTGAGCCACCCAGGCTCCCCTCCTGGTGGGCTTTTTTTTTTTTTAAGATATATTTATTTATTCATGAGAGACCGAGAGAGAGACAGAGAGAGAGACAGAGACACAGGCAGAGGGAGAAGCAGGCTCCTCACAGGGAGCCTGATATGGGACTCAATCCTGGATCCTGGGATCAGGCCCTGAGCTGAAGGCAGATGCCCAACCACTGAGCCACCCAGGCATCCCTCTCCTTGTGGACTTTTGATATGATTTAGCTGTTAAAATTTCACACTTAGCCTAAAATGCATCATATGGAGAGAATGATGTGTCCCATCATATAAATACGTTGAAAAAATAGAGACAGATATTTTCTGATTTATAGAGAAATAATGTTGAGGATCCTTTATTTAACTACCTATAGAGACCGTGGTATGTCTAAGACCCTTCATTTTAGCAACTTAATTGGTATAATTAGGAGTCATGTATTGGTAAAGAGATGAAAGTTAAGGCTTAACTACAGAGTTGCAAATTGGAGTGATGTTTGTGTGCTTTAGAAGATAGTGTGTCCACAGAAACCAGTCATAGCTGAATCTTACCTTAGTGAAACCAAGGAAATGAAGAAAGTTATTTAGGGAAAACTGGCCACTGCCTACCACTCCATCTTTAGCTTCACCAAAACTAAAACTCAGGTATTAGATGTCACCACAATAACATCATAAAAGGTCTGTCCAACTCACACTCGCGAATTCTAAGGAATATGGTGTCATAAATGCTAAGCAAGTAGAGAACATTAGCCCAGTGCCAATGGCTGAAGTATTCTAGGCCTTTCTGTCTCTGACTAGGGCTTGTATCCTCGAACAAGCCAATTGCTTCATGATAGGGAAAGGATGAGAGAGGGAAAATGGGAGAAAGAGATTCCCCAAAATTAATGAGTTTACTTAAACCTTTAGAGGGCAGAAATGGACTGGCATCCATATACATTTTGACCACTTAAAAAAATCTACCTCTGAAACTGTGGCACAAGTCCTAGCTTTTGAGCAATCCTCCAACCCCAGAGAGAGGATTTGCTTGATCTAAAGCTGATGGCTAACATTGGGAGGAAGGGAAGAGAGAAGGGACTTCAGATCTTGCTGGAGGCAATTCATGGGGCATAGGTAGTTAGTAGAATCATAAATTAATTCATTTAAAGACCAGCTAAATATAGATGAGAAAGGAAGTCTTAAATAATATCTATGGGATTTGAGTAATTGCATTATTCTGCTGAATATTTGGAAATGACAGCTTCCAAAAGCAGAATGATCATTTTATTTCCATTTTACCTACCTTTTAAAAAAATCATCTTGCAGCTAAATTGATTTCTACTGACATAGTTTGGTTCTTTTCCTTATTTTTTCCAGCTTCTTTAAGAAAGGGATTTAATATATCTTATTATAAAGTAAAACTGGAATGAATCCGATAAAGTAAGTAAATATGTAACTAGAAATTCAATTAAAAATTCTTGCTATAACTTATAGCTCTAGAAGTGTGAAACAGAGGATTGGGTTTAAGCTTTCCAAAATCCAAGACAAAATCCAAATTATATACAATGACATAATACAATTTTTAATAAGTTAAGGACAGGTCAATGGCCCATGCAGGTAGAAATTATTCTTGTTAATAAGACCAGTAAAGAACTTCTTAATGTTCTCAAAGAATGAAGCATATCCTGAAGGGTTCCAGAACCAGCCACTCAGAGGCTCAAAACGATGTTTTATTTTCCTACTTTTATTATGTTCCTAAGTGTAAAGCAATACATTCCATCAATGTGTACGATTATTGAATAGTATGATGAGGTCCAGAAAATCAAGTCTTTGTTGTCTATCTGGATGAATCATGTGATAGACCTTGGAATAACTACAGGAATGGACAAACCATGTATCTCTCAAACATCCTAAGCTATATTTTTTTATAGATATTTGGTGATTATACCACACTCAAGTTCAGAGTGAATATTTTTGATTTATCTTTATCACATGTTTCTGGGAAATATTAGGAATCTAATTTATGTATAAAGATCTTCTAAGAATTTTTATTAAAGGCAGCCTGGGTGGTTCAGCGGTTTAGCGCCGCCTTCAGCCCAGGGCATGATCCTGGAGTCCCAGGATCGAGTCCCACATCGGGCTCCCTGCATGGAGCCTGCTTTTCCCTCTGCCTGTGCCTCTGTCTCTCTCTGTGTCTCTCATGAATAAATAAAAATATTTTTTTACAAAAAGAATTTTTATTAAAAAAATTTTTTTCAGAGCATGTGTTCCATTTTAGGTCTCTCATCATCCTCCATCTGTTAACTTATAATTATTCTCAATTTGTCTCTAAAGAACTCTGAATCCAATACAAAATTCTAATTTAATGTAAAGAGGAAGTTGTTTGGTATCTAAGAACTGAAATCTTATTTAGAAGATTTTTAAAAATAACAAAACCTATCAGAGGAGAGGGCACATTTTAAATTCTAATTCTGTTATTAATTGGAGAACTGTGGACATTATTTATTTAGATTCGTCAATCCTCTCTCCATCTTTAAAATAGAAGAATTGAAAGCTATTGTAGGTCTTCAAGGCAACAACTTATGTACAGTTAAGCAGCACATGTCTTGAGCATGGCAGGGACTCATTAAGGGTTACTTGTTTCCCCCTCCATGAAGGAAAGATAAATCATTATAGTAGGCATTTTGATTTGAATGTCAAGGAAACAAGAGATTAAATTATGTGCTATTTTCTCTTTGGTTGGATGATGTGATGGATATTTATTTTTTATTTTGTTCTCTCAGTTCAATAGTTCAAAAAACCGTGCTTTCCAAGTGCCAGGCATTGAGGCCAGAAAAAGATGAATAAGTAAAGTTTTCCCTGCAGGAGTTGATAACTTAGTAAGTGAGGCAGATGAGTGAGTCATACTTCATATTCAGTATGGAGAGCTACAATACTAGAGATATTGGCACACAGGAAGCAGAGTGGTAACTGAATGTTTACTATCTAAATATCAAACACCAAGGTAGTATCTACTGATTTTCAGTATTACTAGAAGTGGTCAGATGGCTGGTGACCAAGAATTTCCATAAGAAAGCATTTACCTTAAAGACTCATTTCTCTCTAGGATTTCACCATCAGATTTGGATGCTCAGAAATTCTGGGATCTAAAATTGGCAAAGCTTACGATTCTGTCCAAATCACAGTGGACAAAACAAACAAACACACAAAAACACATTTGTGAGGAAAATTAGGCATTCATAATAGGTTAGAAAGCACATTTTCTGCCTGTAGATAATCATTAGGGAAAATCAAATTTTCAGATTACTTGAGTAGGATTATATAGTAAATCAGTTTATTTACGTGACTCAAATGTGTTCACCAGTCTCTGATAGTCTAATAGGTATTACCCATTTCCAGAGGCTATACAGTGAACAGTAAGCCCAGTGTGGCATCCTCCTCAGTGGATTGGGCATGGGAAATCCACTGTTTCCTCTGAGACCTCTCTTTTACTTTGCTTCCATTGTAGACCAACTCCTTTCTGATTGATACATTCTTTCCTTTAACGGATTAATATCTTCAATCAGATAATTAACCAACTCTCTCTTCCTTCCTTCCTTTATGTATTTATGACAGAGAGTACCTGCCTTCTTTGGAGACCACTATGTAATGTCCTTTCTCTTCATTAATCATCTTTTGTTTTCTTTACAGGTACATGTCAACCTTATATTCTCACCCTGATTTCCCAGAGAAAGGGCCAGAGGAGATTAATGAAGAGCTAATGAAAAATGTTAGCCACAACCCCCTTTTGCTTCTCACACCACAGAAAGTTAAAAGATATGTTGAGTCTCTATGGAAGAAGAAAAGCTCTGGACAACCTGTCACCTTTACCGATATCTTTGGGATGTTAATAGGAGAAACACTAATTCACAATGTAAGCTATGATTCAACCTGCAGTCCTTTTGATACAAATAGGCTTTGTATATCATAATATTTTAATAAAACAAAATGATACATCTTATAAAAGTCACTTGACTCACCTGATCCTATCAACAACGTGTAGTGAGCACATACTCCCTGCCAGACATAACATTTCTACATTTCCAACTAGTTCTTACTCATTCTGTGTAATAGTTTTGATGTAGCGAGGTACTTTTGTGTTCTTTTTCTTTGGAAAAATACACATTTTAACCCTTAACTGCCCACCCCCACGCCCAATGGCAGTCTTTTTAAATAAGGAGATGAATACAAGTAATAATGGTAGAGGAAAAATAGAGGTTGCTGAAAAGAGAGTCAGAAAAGGGAGTGAGTCACAAGAAACAAGCCCATTTGACATATGACGACAGTGTGACACTTCAACTGAAGATAAAGTTGGGGAAGATAAAGTCTGTGCCAGAGAATCTGGGGTCCAGACTGTTTCTTCTTCATAGCTTCGTAGCTGCCAAGTTGTTCTTCATTTCAAATGTAGACATAGCCTTTAAACTTGTGGTTGTTTTTAGAGTGAAGATAATTACCTCCCTAGAGCATACTTTTGTTGTATATTAGGACCCAGAGATTTCTAGAAAAAAATAAGAGTTTTATTATAAAAGTTTTAAGTGTCTTGATTGCAAGTACTATTTTAAGTAGCTTCCTATCTGTATCTGTTACTATTTAAAACCATGTATTTCTTCTGTGGACAGAGAATGAACACTACTTTGAGTAGTCTGAAGGAAAAAGTCAGTTCTGGTCAGTGTCCTCTACCTCTCTTCACCTGTCTCCATGTCAAACCTGATGTTTCAGAGCTAATGTTTGCAGGTACGAAATCTCCTCTTTCAAAACGTTTCCTCGAACCTTTGAACTGTTGGTTTGTCATGATTGTCATTAGAGGAAGCTCATAAGCAATTTTAGTTGTCTGTTTTTGTATATTTTCTGTACCATAAAAACAGTCGAAGATACAAGAAAATATTAAGCTAGATGATTTTCTGATGGTAGAGAATATTCCATGAAATTAGGTACTAATATATCTTCATTTAAATTAGTGAAATAGAAATTATAAAAAAAAGTCCTGACTGTAATCTCAATTTTCATTACTCAGTTCTCAAGGACTTTTAACAAAATAGTGTGTCTCGTGCTTTTAGGCAATGCATATTCTTTTGCTTACTGCTTATATTTTCATTAAATTGGATAACATATGTGATTATCATTAAAAGCACTTTTATAATTTTTATAATACAGTACTTAAAAAGTACGGCTCTATACTTGTGGCAGATGAGGAACAAAATGCCCCATTTTGTTAATTCTCCAGTGTAAATATTTGTTTCTTCTACAGAAGCTTTGCCTCTTGCTGGGTGCTCTAAAACATGTGACATCATGCTTCTGGGGGCTTTGGCAGTCCTAGTCTGCAGTATGGAAGCATTTCTGACTATAGCTAGTAGGGTCCGTTGTAATTTTAGGAAAAGTACCTCAAGAAAACCAGTCACAGCATAAGAAAAAAAAAGTCATTGTGAATGGCATGAAATTAACAGATTTATTTCCAGAAACATTTTGCAATTTTACAAAGTCTCACTTTCTTCAACTGACTATTCTGAGGCAGGAATTTTGAATTATTTATAAAAAGCAGTGCACCCGCAATTCATTCATTCAAATGTTTACCAGTTACATTGACTAAAATATTCATTATGCTTATGGCTCAGAAATCACTTATCATATTTATTATCCTATTCAATTTTGCTACAACTCAGGAAGTGAGGTCTTTTCAGCTGTGCTTCATAGAAGAAAAAAACAAAACCTCAGAAAGATTAAATGATTTGTACATTGCCACACAGAAGTAGTAGCAGAGCTGAGATTTGTTTTTAAAAGTCCTTTGTGTTTTTTTTAACATTTTATTTATTTATTTACTTGAGAGAGAGAGAGAGAGATAGAGAGAGAGCGCCCGCACATGCGCACAAGCAGGGAGAGTAGCAAACAGAGGGAGAGGGAGCAGGGAGCCCAATGCTGGGCTCGATCCCAAGAACCAGGGATCATCACCTGAGCCAAAGGCAGGCACTTAACTGACTGAGCCACCCAGGCACCCTTCCTTTGTTCTTTTTATTAAAATATTGGCTTCTCTGGTTACTGGCTATGGAAAATATAGTATGCCAGGTGCTAAGCATGAACTCCCCTCCCCCACCACAGTATATTGCCTCTGTTCTATCAGACCTTATAATCTAGGAAATTTACCATAATTATTAAAGAAGTTAAGGCACAAGGAAGAAGTTACTATGCATTATTCCTGTGACTAAGTTACATGACATCTGTTAGTCTGTTTCCACATCTGTTAAATAAGGATGACACTGTCATAGTGTTTCTATAGATAAATGATATGAAGTATGCAAAGTACATAAAACACTGGCAGGCCCGAATTAAGGTTAAGTAAATCTTAAAAATTTAGTGCTCTATGAAATCTATATGAGAAATCAGAGGTCTGGATCTTAACAACAAACAAATAGGTTTTCTATATAAAAGGCAAATTTAATTATTGGATGAGGGTAAGGCGTAGATTAGGAGTCTAGGATAACCATGGCATGCTCAGCAGTAATAAAGAGCAAGATCTTGATTGTAATGCTTTTAGAGAGAATTGAAATTTTTGCATACAAGAAAAGTAAGTGCCATGAGGAAATTGACTTTGTTTTGTTTTTGCTTTCCTTTTTTTTAAAAAAAAAATTTTATTTATTTATTTATTATAGTCACACACAGAGAGGGAGAGGGAGGCAGAGACACAGGTGGAGGGAGAAGCAGGCTCCATGCACCGGGAGCCTGACGTGGGATTCGATCCTGGGTCTCCAGGATCGTGCCCTGGGCCAAAGGCCAGCGCTAAACTGCTGCGCCACCCAGGGATCCCTGTTTTTGCTTTCCTATAGCTATTGTTTTGTGAGGTCTTGGAATGTTTGCAGATAGGTTGATAAATCCTATTAGTATGCTTGTCAAATATGTGCCTAGCCAAATAAGCCATTTTACCCCAAAAGCATTATGATATGGTCAAACAAGCCCTAGACTAATTTGAAAGTCTTGTTTTAAAGCTGAAATACCTTAGGTAGGCCATTTAATCTCTCTGATTTTTATTTTCTTCATTATTTAAAAAAAAAGATGGTATTAGTAAATATCAGATTTATATTACAAAACTATTAAGACAATCACATGAAGTATGGCACATCATAAAGAGACAAAACATGATAGTGTCACTACTATCGTTAAGATTGTTAGGACATTTTCATAGTCACCTTTTTTTATTCTGAACTTTGAGGCCAGTAGCCTATTCTCAATGGAAAATCTGATCATAATCATTAAGGAACAAGTTATTTTAGATTCCTCTAGAGTGGGAAAGGCTATTTTATGTTCAGCTAGTAACCTTCTGACCTCGATGTGTCTGATTTGGGCCATCTGCCTAACTACGATATTGTTACTGAGATGAGAGATACACCATTAACCTTCATTGTGAAGCTTTTACGATAAGGAGGTTCAAAGCTCTGTCTTCCAACAGAGTTGGACAAAGCCGTCAAGCATTAGTTATATGGATCTTGTACCCAGATAAGATATTCAAAGGTGTTATGTTATGAAGGTTCAAGTAGCTTGGATTATTGAGGGGAGGTGGGGGAAGAGCCATGTCTATACTTTATTCCTTTAAAGTTTGCTCAGATTAAAAATAGATATTCAGGGGAAAATAGCTGCAATATTATCTGAATAATATTTTTAAATGTCAAAGAACCAAATTATCTTAGCTTACAGAAGTTTTATCAACTTTGTTTCACAATATCAGAGAATGTTTTTCTTCCCTTCAGAATAGTTTTAAACATTTTCTTCTTTTGAAGATTTTAAACAAATAAACATTAGATGTTTAAACTGTCAAATATTTTTACAATTGCTTTCATTTTTACGTTTCCATTGGTCAGTAAATTGCATTTACTGAGCCCAACTTAGAGAACTCCACATCATGTTAAATTCTTTGACATACTATAAGAGTAGATATATAGTATTATATAGTATTGTATATATAGTATTCAGGAAAGTTATAATCCCATTAACAAGACAAAAATAAAACATTAAAAATCAATGAGCCATACACATAGCATATTATGATCTATTAAAGTGTGTAGAACCGACATGAGAGTAAGATATAGACATTTAGTCCAGTCATAAAGACTTCACGTGGATAATGGAACTCAGATTTCATTTGAACATACACGGGTCTATCAAGAGAGATGAATAGTTCTTGTTGTGTGAAATACCATGAGAAAATACTCAGAAGAGGAGCCCAAAGTATGTTTTTGAGAACAGTAAAAAAAAAACTGGCCTTATTATGAGTGGGTGAAGGTGGGTAGTGCATTTGGGAAAATTATTAGTGCCAAGTTATAAAAAGATCTGAATTCCAGGGAGAAATCTTTTTATTCAGTTATAATGATAATGCGAAATATTTTGATGTTTGGGGGCAGGACAATAAATTTTTTAAGTAGTGTTTTGGGAGGAAAAAAGCACTTTGGTGATTCATATGGGTAGATTAGCAAGGAAAGAAGCTGGAAGCACCGCTATCACTCTGCTTTTGTTAGGGAGTGATGTGATGTCAGTTTAAAAAATTCCTTTTTGGGGCTCTCATAGTGTGGCTTACGGAAATAGGTAAGATAGACTGGGAGGGAGGGTGAGGAGTTCCTTTCCAGATAAGCATAGTGGGATGTGATGACATTGTGTCTAAGCTTAAATGCGCAACAGGAAGTTGGAAATGAGTAGATGGAGGTACAGGAGAGAGGTTCAAGTTTGAAATGTACGAGTCAACAGCAAAAGGAATAGTCACATACTCATACGGTGAGTCCTTCAGTAAAGACTAGAGAGCAATCTCACCTTGAGAATGTCTGTAATTACTGTGTGCACGCACCATAGCATTAATAAGGAAGAGAAATTATTGTTTCAGTACCCAAGATAAGGGGATGAAATTCAGAGATGGGAAATTACTTGTAGTGATACAGAAATTTTCCTAGCAGCCTCTGATTCATTACTAGTCATGTCTCACTACCTCCATGTAAATCATTATAAAGCATACCACTTTCCGATGAAAGGTATGTGTGCCACTTGGCTTTGATTTGAAATGAATTATAATGTGTTCTCATCCCAACTGTGATTTCATAACTTCCTTCACGAAAGTAGAATGTTATGATCTGCCACTGAGTAAACAATAAATAGACACCCACAATCCCTTTTCTAAAACGTTGGGGATAGGTGTTTTGGAATTCAGAATATTTTAGATTTTAAAGCTATGTTATATATTATGTAATACCCTCCCGCTCAGATTTCATAGTCAAATAGAGTAATTTCCTTAATAGAATGTGTCAATATTCGTATTTAGTGAGATAAATAAAAACTAAGTCTTGCATCATTTCAAGACTTTTTTTTTCCTGCTGAATGAAGTCAGGTCAGATTTTACCGCCAAATGAATAGCAGAAAAAAGCTAGGGGAATTTCGAGTCATTTGGATTTTGGATTGTTTGGATAGACATGTAATAATTTCAGAAGGGAAGGGAGGGGATAAAGGAGAGCAGAGAGTTATGGGTTAGGCAAGAGTGGATGGTGGTGGGACTTTACAGAGGGTGGCCAACAAAACTGGATCTTGAACTAAAGGTTGAGAAGGAGCAAGCCTTGTGATCACATAAGATAATAGAGAGCATAAAAGCATGGAGGTATCATTGAACTTTCTCTTTGAGGAACATTAAGAAGACTTGTGTGACTTAAGGGGAAAGAGCAAGACCAACATTATGGGAGATTGGTTAGGATGTGAGGTCAGGGAGCACCAGCCGGACCATCTTGAAGCCTTGTTGACCATATTTTTATGTTCAGTGTAATGGGAAGTCATCAGAAATCTTTCAGCTGGCATTAGTGTGCTGTGATTTCTATTTTTAAAAATTCATTCTTGCTCCGAGTATCAAAAATATAGGGAAATAGAGAAGAGATGTTTTAGAAGACTATGGCGGAGATCCAGGGAAGAAAGTATGGCACTTGTGCCAGTAGGGTACAAATGGCTGGTTGGTCCATGGTGGAGAAATGGGTAAGCAGCCTGTTTCTAACCATATCTGGTAAGAGAGTCTATAGAACTTGAGTTTTTGTATGGAGGATAAAAAGGGAAAAGAACTGTCAAGAATAAAGTCTGAATAGGGGTATAACTACCTGCAAAGTAGTACCATTTACCAGGCAAGGAGGACTGAGAGTAGCAAGTGTAGGACATGGGAATCCGAAACCAGGAATTCTTTTTGGATGCCTAATTAGATGTAGTGATAGCCAAGGATATACATGAAATCTAATAGTAGCTACCATTTGTAGACTGACTAAAATGTGCTATGCCCTCTTCTAAGTTGTTTACATTTCTTAACTCATTAGATTTTCAAAACAGTTCTACAATCTCCTGATTTTATTCATACTCTGTAGATTAGAGGACTAAAACATGGAGAACACAAGTAATCTAACGAAGGTTGCATAGTTGGTAAGCAGCAAAGTGGGATTTGAACCCAGGGCTCTGGCTCTATAGCCTCTACTTCTAGAAAGTATGCCTTTTGACCCTATTGCCAGGTAGTTCTTAAGACACTCAGCATACGAACTTTGCATTATAATCTTGAGTCAGGATAATGGTTAATAAGCAAAATTAAGGAAAGATGAAGAAAAGGCAAATGTTGGAGAACACTTTCTTCCATTTTCATAGTCTGCTTGCATTATCATAGCCTAATTTCTATGTCCTTCGTGGATTTTACAAATTGAATTAGCAGTTTTCTGTTTTCCATTCTTTAGAATTAAGATGGACTTCATGAAAGAAGCTTTTAAATGCAAAAGATATTCAGTTTGTACAAATTGGAAGGGATCCTTTTGCATTTTCATCTCAATAAGCTCTTTCCCCACCCCCCCAGCCTCTATACAGAAAATATTAAAAGACATTTGGTTAATTTTTTAAAAATATTTTAAATAAATGAAAATAATCAAGGCATTGTTGGAAGTGATCTTTGGGTGCATTTCTGTAGTACTTTCCTACTAATGGATTGCACTTTTTTAAAATGTTTTCAGATTGGGTTGAATTCAGTCCGTATGAGATCGGCATGGCTAAATATGGTACTTTTATGGCTCCTGACTTATTTGGAAGCAAATTTTTTATGGGAACAGTTGTGAAGAAATATGAAGAAAACCCCTTGCATTTCTTAATGGGTAAGTCATCAAAAACTACCATTTGTTTGCTTGACTGTTTTAAATCTTGGTGCAGTCTAAGTTATTCTCCATTCTTGCTTGGTTTTAGGTGTGTGGGGCAGTGCCTTTTCTATATTGTTCAACAGAGTCTTGGGAGTGTCTGGCTCACAAAATAAAGGTTCTACAATGGAAGAAGAATTAGGTATTGTAAAAACATGTTTCTATTGATCATATATGTGCTAAACTGATAAATTTTAACATGCCTGATTTTAATTAGTAAGTTAAATCATTAAGATTGTAATTGTCCTAAAGTTACCAATAACTTGGTTAAGTCAACTTAAATATTTCCTAGGAATCATCTGTATATTACTTCTTAAGTATTATTCTGACACTGAAGTTTTGAAATTCATAAAACCTATTGATTCCTAAGAATTTTTGACTAGAGCATCTCCATTCCCCTTAGTCATCATATATCTAAACATGCTATCTGTAGTCAAGAATATTCCTTTTATCAAATAGAATTTGCTTTTCAAAGATTAGATTCATCAGCAGTTGAACACAAGATGACACCTAAATTCATGCTTGCCTGCTCATTTACCCCTTAAATACTAGCTTGTTAGAATTCTTTTGGCTTCCTATAGCTAAGTCATACCAAAAAGGAGGAAAGAGTATTTCAAATTCCATCTAGTAAATGAACACTAATGATTTTCTTTAAGTCGAACTCAATGGCCCATAATAAATTAAAAAACAATATTTACAAAACTTGAAAAAGTAGACAGACTGAACTGAGGACCAGCAGTTTTCATTTATTGTAAGATGAATGACAGGAACATCAGTTTTCGTGGTTGAGTAAATTTGACTCAAAGCAAACAAAATGAAACATACGTTCGGTGTCTTCCAAATGCCTGGCCAGCTGCTTCCTTATGGCTATTTTGACTGGCTGTGGGAAGAAGCAGTGATTGCTAAATCTGAATTTGGAACCAACCCAGCAGTGACTGGGGAGGAGGGTCCTATAGATAATCAGCACATGACCTACCAACTACCTCCTGTCTGTCTGTGAAGCATCACACGTCTGTGTGAGGAGAGTTCACAGAATAGTATCAGTGACATTTTCAACAATCAATTCAGTTGAAGAATACTTGCATGTAAAAAACTTAATGTAGACTTTTTTTTTCTGACAAGGTGCCCTTAGTTTTTTCAGGAAGTGACAATTGATTTAAGTAAGCTTTATATGAAAAAAAAAACACACACACACAATTGTAACATTAATTAATACACTACAAAGTGGCTTATAAGTACTGTTATCATTCCTCCTGTAAAAGGCATTTTAGCTATTGCACATTAAGCAAACAGCAATTTTCCATAGTCCTTAATATTTTCTTCAATAGTATCAATTGTATTTTGGGGGGGTCGTTCTTCATAAAGTAGTGAAGAAGTGATCTTCCGAATGCCTTAGAGCCAAAGATTTTAAAATAAAAATAAAAACAGTAAAGAAAGCACTTTGTGCTTGAACTTTCTCCTGTCCTCTGAGTGGCACTCCGTTAACAAGCAGCCAAGGCTGATGGAACTCTGGAGCCTGCTCCAGCCGGAACTACAGAGCCCCATTCTCAGGAGGAGCTATGAGGCCAAGAGTATATTGCTGAAATGCTCTGACTTGACTTTTTTTAATGAACGTTACACCCCACATGAATAAATACCCTGTTCTCCATTCTAGTTTTATGGAAATCACTAACTCTTCTCAAAATTTTGTAAAGATTTCAGAAGAAAAGGGATAAAGAACAGACGGAGCACTTGTTACGGGACTTGTTTCTCTGTGATTCCTCTCTGTTGAATAATCCAGATAAACCTAGGGCTTGTTATTTTTTCCTCCTATGGCAGGAAGAGAATAGGACTGAAATAACAGATCTGAGGTGGGCGAGACAATGGCTGAAGGCCAAGGAAAAGGAGAGTGTTTATACTAAATAATCTTCAGAATATTCTTTGTTGTGAGATGTTTCTTTTGGGGCCCGTGGTTTGGCAGCTTATTCACTTGTCCTGTGTGTCAGACTAAGGAGGAATATTGTGCACTTGAGATCCAGCAGCCAGAAGGATCCATGTTACCTCAGATGAGGTAAGGGTTTCCAGAAATGAGACCAGAGAGGTGACTGAGGGGAATCTGAAGATGCCTGGTGACTCTTTTCATCCATCAGCTCCCCAAAGTCTACCTTTTAAAGGGAGGCTCAAAGGTGGTTTCTGTATGTGCCTCCTCCCTTCTGAAGAAAGACATTATAGTATATTGGACCATAATCCGATAACTCTAAATGAAATTCTTTACATTCTCAAGGAATTTTGAATATGAGCAATCTGTGCTCTTGAACAGATGAAGTCAAATGTTATACCATAGGGATGGAAAATAAATACATTCAAATATTTAGCTATCTCTTGAAAATATCTTTATAAAAGAATATTTTGGTGAACCTTGTTTTTTGTGAACCGTTTTCTTAAATGATAGTATCAAAAATGACCCAAAAAGAGAGAGAGAAGAAAAACTTACTTGCAGAAAGAGAATTTTGTTCTGCTGAATACATACAGGACCAGAGACACATCTACTGTATAGGAAACCTAGAGCAGATCATTTCTTAACACCACCCCTCTTCTACACAACAAAACTACTTTCTGTAATAGTCATGAAATGAAATGAAGATTAAGCCGAGAACATGATCTTTTATTGAATTTCATATGTGTAACCATGCCAGTAAAATTAAATAAATCTAAAAATTAAAATGACTACCTCACGCATTTAAAACCCTTTCATTATATACCCTCAGTCATTCATATATATGACATTTACGCAGGTATGATAAATATATGCAGAGTAATATGGGGGAACTAAGTGTTATATATGTATTTCTCTAAGTTTGGAGCCCTCAAATTGCTGTGTCACTGAAAATGATAAATTTAGAGTCCGTTTATCTGAGTTCAGAGCCTTAAAATGACTCTATCAGTGAAAATTATAAATTTAGAGTCTGTTTTTAAGACCAAAAAAAATTCTAGTGACTAATCAAAGAAAAAATTCATTGTAGAGAAAGTGGTTTCATGTAAGTATCCAAAGAAAGTTTGATTTTTCTACAAATGCTGATGTTAAGAATGATCTGTATGCTCCATAGTTTAGGTAATTTTTACTTGAAAAAAAAAATGAGTTATTATGTGGATTTTACTCTTATCTTTGTTTTAAGTGTTAAGGATCTGTGGTTCCTATTTTAGTTTTTATAACTACCCTTTTAATATATTCTGAGGAAGTACAAATTCTTTTTTTTTAAAGATTTATTTATTTATGATAGACATAGAGAGAGAGAGAGAGAGAGGCAGAGACACAGGCAGAGGGAGAAGCAGGCTCCATGCCGGGAGCCTGACGTGGGACTCGATCCTGGGACTCCAGGATCGCGCCCTGGGCCAAAGGCTGGCGCTAAACCACTGAGCCACCCAGGGATCCCTGGAAGTACAAATTCTTGACTCCAATAGGCACATTTCAACAACTTTCAGGATTATTGAAAATGAAAAGATACCTTATATTAGTAGCTTTCATTCATTTTGAAGGAATTGTTCTGTAGTTCCCCTGTGGATTTTGGTGTTACCCTACATTTACCCTCCTAAACACCACTTAAACATATTTAATTGAAGAAATATATACCTTTTTGATATAAAAAGGAGCCTCCTATAATCAAGTTATTTTGTCAGGATTAAGATAAACATTTTTTTCCCTTTAAATCATGAATGAATAGCTTTAAACTAATTTTTCCTGCCCTAAGACATTTTGTTTTTCAATGAGAAATTTGAAAATACTAGTGAAACTATAAATTTTGGGACTAAATTGTTCAAAATTAACACTAGTGAACTTGGTAGATCTCACTTGGTGGTTTTTCTGAGATTACTTCCTTACAGTAAATTTAATTGTGAGTCTTGACACCTGAAATCCTTCAACTGTTTTGATTTTTTTCCCCACAGAAAATATTACCGCAGAGCATATTGTGAGTAATGACAGCTCAGATAGCGATGATGAAACACAAGAACCCAAAGGTAAGAGGATCTTCTCTGGCAGAAGTCCATTTGCGTAGAAATGCATGTTGTGTCTGATTCTCTCACTCAAGGTGCTAATGGTAATCTCTGCTCTCGAGCAATATAGAACTGTAGCTTTCTGTTCACTGAAAGAACTGATACTATGTGTGTAATAAAATATGCAACACATAAATATCCCTTATGTTTTTCTTTTTAAGACCTCAAACTATTATCCATGGAACAAATGGAGAATAAACTGGAATGGTAGAAATAACGAATTCTAAGTCCAGTTAGAGCACCAGGCTTCTTGGCGTGAAAATTGTGACATGGGAGCATTTTTCTTTGGCTTTAAAACTTAAAATTTCATCCTTAAAAATCCTATTATTGTTGAAGTATCATGTGAAAAATTATTCTCACTCCATTACTGAGGCTTATCCCATTGTCAGCAATCCATCTCTTAGGAAGAGATCAGTGATGAAGTGGGGTAGAATTATGAAGAACTTTTTATTGTATATGTTATTTATAAGTGTGAATGAGTTCTTTCACATTTTGACAAGGCAGTTTTTGGCTTGGTGTGGATCACCGTATCAGGGATGAAGCCTGGGCAGGGATTAGGTGAGGATCAGGGGGATATTTGTAGCAAATGTTAGGTGGTCAAATTAACCCCTGGGTAAACATCCTGTGACAGCTTGAATATGATTATCTAGATTTTAGAAGACACTAGATGCTTTCTTGCTCTAAATTTCATGAATCCCTCCAGCCATGGTGTAGATACTGGAAAAGCCTGTTTTATCCTTGCTGAATCAACATTAAAATTAAAATTCTCTTTTCACAGCTGGGCTGTGACTCCCTCATAAGATAAGTTTGTATAAACGAGAGGGAAGGTACCTTCTCTGGGAAATGCAGCTACACAAGCTCACAGTGTGGCTAGCGTGTAGTGTCTTGTAAAATTAATAATAGTAATAATAATAACCCTTCCCTGGGCACAAAATTTTCGACCAGGCACAAGATTTGAGCACTGCTCATGGTCTCCTCTTCAGTCCCTGTTGGCCCACTGTCCTGCTGTTTCATGCTGGAAAGTCAGTCCTAATTCTGGCTCCTTCTTATTTTTAACTTTAATTTTTTTAGTTATTCAGGTCTTTTTTTTTTTTAATTTCCTTTTAATGAAGGGTGCCAGCCAGTACACAGGGGATAGACAGTATATGTCTAACACTTCTAGAATTAATATGTGTTGACATAGGGACTGTCAAGTAGGTATAATAATGGCTTGTTAATTATTAAGGAAATTGCTATAGATGGTCAGTACATTTGATCACTTCTGGTTATCTTAAGGCTAAGAAATTCAAAGGCCCTTTGAACATATATACCTATTTTGGTTTTAATACCACCCTAGATTGGAAAATTATATTTAGGATGTTCTTGGGATTTCTTATTAGCTCTTAATATTCTTTTTTTTCCTCTTAAATAAAATTTTTTGGAGTAGTTTTAGATTCTCAACAAAATTGAGCAAAAAGACCAGAGAGTTCCCGTAGATTTCCTGCACACTCCCACTCACACTCAGAGCCTCCTCCACCTCAACATCTTATATCAGAATTGTGTGTTTTTTATAATCCATGAAACTACGTCGACACATCCTTGTCACCCAAGGTCCAAACTTTAGGGTTTACTCTTGGCATCATATATTCTATAGATTTTCACAAATGTAGAGTAACCTTTATCTACCATTATAGTTTCATACAGAGTAGTTTCACTGCCAGAGGCATCCCTCTGTGCTGTTTTTTTTATTCCTCTATCCCTCCCATCCCAACCTCTAGCAACCACTGATCTTTTTACTGTCTCCACGGTTTTATCTTTTCCAGAATGTCAGATTGTTGGTATCATACAGTATATATAGCGTTATCAGATTGGCTTCTTTTACTTAGTAATATGCATTTAAGTTTCCTCCATGTCTTTTCATGGCTTCATAGCCACCCCCTCCTTTTTTTTCTTCTTTTTCTTTCTTTCTTTTTTTTTTTTAGCATTGAATAACATTCCATTGTCTAGATGTACCAATTTATTTATCCGTTCACCTATTGAAGGACATCTTATTTGCTTCCAAGTTTTGTCAATTATGAATAAAGCTGCTATTGGGTAAAAACTAAAAAACATGATTGTTGGATCATATGATGGAAGTAAAATTTAGTTTTGCAAGAAACTTCCAAAGTGGCTGTACTATTTTGCATTCCCATGAGCACGTGTGAATATTTTTGTTGCTTCACATCCGCACCAGCATTCAGTGATGTCACTGCTTAGGATTTGGTATTTCTAATTGGTGTGTAGTGTTATCTCATTGTTGTTCTAATTTCTATTTCCCTGGTGACACATGATGTGGAGCATCTTTGCTTACTTGCCATTTCTATGTCCTCTTTGGTGAGGTATCTGTTAAGGTCTTTTGCCCATTTTTTAATTGGTTTGTTTGTTGTCTTATTGTTGAATTCTGAGGGGTCTTTGTATATTTTGGATGACAGTCTTTTATTGGATGTGTCTTTTACAAATATTTTCTCCCAGTTTGCGGCTTGTCTCCTCGTTCTCTTTTGAAACTTCTTCATTTTTCATCATATGATTTTGAGCAAGGTCTTTAGGAATTTTTAACTTTAGTTTTTTTCAAATCTATGCTGGCATCATTTTACCTGCTCTCACACAATTGTTATAATTATCAACTTGCAAATGCATACAAAGGGCTTTAAGTTGTAAAAAGCTATGCAAATAGAAATTTACTTATATTATTACTAAAAAAGAGTCAATTATCATTTATCTATTGACTGCTGGGTTTGTCCCACAAATGGTGCCATTTCCAAATATCTTGTAAGGAAAGATCTCTGTCTAGGACAGAAGTGGGGTTTATTTAATAATAATAACAAAAATGATGATGATAATGGTAATTATGTTGGTGATAAAGAAGGAAGAGGAGGAAGAGAAAGAAGAAGGAAAAAGAAGAGGAGGAGTTGGAGGAATAGGAGGAAGCTCCAAATTTTTAGAAAATAATTGGTATCTTTGTATCCTTTGTGACTGGAGGATATAAATCATTCACTTTATTTTTTTAAAAAAGATTTATTTACTAATATAGAGAGAGAGTGCGCACACATCTGGGGTGCGCACACATCTGGGGAGGACCAGAGGGCGAGAAAGGAAGAGAGTCCCAAGCAGGGGCTATGTTAAGTGTGGAACCTGATGCTAGGCTCAATCTCATGACCCTGACATTACAACCTGACCTGAAACCAAGAATCAGCCACTTAACCAAATGAGCTCCCCTGGTGCCCCCAAATCATTCACTTTATTTATTTATTTTTTTTTTCAAATCATTCACTTTAAAGCCCAACTTGTCCTTTGAGAGTTTTTCTTTTTTTTTTCTTTTTTTTTTCTTTGAGAGTTTTTCTTTGTCATATTTGGCTTTAGAGAAGTGTGAGGTAGAAAAATGTATGTTTTTTTTGTGAGTATGTAGTCACCTGAATTGGTTACTGAAAGATCCATTCATTTCCTCAGCTCATTAAGCTAATCCTTATGAAGCTAAAAAATCAGTATTTATTATGATTTTATGTATGTCTAGTTAATATTTATGAGAAATTATGAAGTTTGAACATAGACTTTCTTTTTCTCAGATGCATATATATATATATATATATATATATATATATATATATATATATATGTATTTATATAGAGTTGCCAGAAATCTGAAGAGAGGGATGCAGGCAAGTGGAATTATACTATACCACACAACCTTCCTCGACTTGGATTATGAATGAATAGTATTTATTGATCATGATGATACAGCTATCACTGCCACCACCATCTCTACTGTTACCTGGTTTTTATTATGAATTTAATACAGGCCAGGCATTTTTCTAAGAGATATACGTGAATGCATTATCTCGATTAATCTTCACAACAGCCCCATGAGGTGTCCTGTGAGTAAATGAAAGCTGAGAAGAGTTACTAAGAAGCAGTGGAAAGAGGATTGAAATCCAGGCAGTCTGATTCTGGAGCCAGTGTTCTAAAAAAACTACACGATGCCGCTTCCCAGTGGTCGTGATGTGTGCACAGGTTTTAGGGGAGAAGTCATTTAAAACTGCTTCTTTTGGAAGATTGTTGGATTTCAAGACATTTTAAAGCATGTGTTTAAATTACACGGTTTTAAATTCCAAACTTTATAAGCAAGGATGAAATGACTGTTTCTAGAGTGTTTACCGAGCAGCAAATATGTGTGTTGAGCCCTTCAGTTGTCTGTTCTCAGTTTGCATGATTTCTGATGTTTACTAAACAGGAGAGGGAAGAAAACTTAGTAATAAAGAAGGGAGGATTAGCTACTGTGGAATTTCCCTGTGTGTGTGTGTGTGTGTGTGTGTGTGGCCAGAGGAAAAAAAGAAAAGGTCTAGGAAAGGACAGAAAGGGGAAAGTAGTTTGCCTGGAAATGTAAGAATAGACCAAGTAACACATCAAGAACACAACCTGTAGGGGTGCCTGGGTGGCTCAGTCGATTAAGTGTCTGTCTTGGGCTCAGATCATGATCCTGGGGTCCTGGGATCAAGCCCCACATCGGGCTTCCTGCTCAGCAAGGAGTCTGCTTCTCCCTCTCCCTCTGCCTTCCACTACCCCTGCTTCTGCACTCTCTCTGTGTCAAATAAATAAATAAAATATTTTAAAAAAAAGAACACAACCTGTAGACTGATGGTGGGTAAAGGATAAAGTAATAACAATTTAAGAAAAAAATGATTAACTGAAATATTACTGTATTAATTTATACAAATATTTGTTAAATCAAAAGACATAGAGCTTCACTATTAACCTTAATATTCAATTACCTAGAGATTTAAAAAATTTTTTTTATTTAAATTCAATTTAGTTAACATATAGTGTATTATTAGTTTCAGGGGTAGAATTAGTGATTCATCAGTTGCAAATAACACCCAGTGCTCATTACATCACATGCTCTCCTTAATGCCCATCCCCCAGTTACCCCTTCCGCAATTGCCTCTCCCCTCCAGCGACCCTCAGTTTGTTTCCTGTAGTTAAGAGTCACTTATTATTTGCCTCCCTCTGTATCTTATTTTATTTTTTCCTTCCTTTCCCCTATGTTCCTCTGTTTCGTTTCTTAAATTCCACATATGTGTGAAATCATATGGTATTTGTCTTTCTCTGACTTGTCTTTCTCTGACTTATTTTGCTTAGCACAATACCCTCTAGTTCCATCCATGTTGTTGCAAATGGCAAGATTTCATTCTTTTGATGACTGAGTAATATTGTATTGTGTATGTGTATACACACACACACACACACACATCTTCTTTATCCATTCATCTGTCAGTGGACATCTGGACTCTTTCTGTAGTTCACCTATTGCGAACATTGCTGCTATAAACATTGGTAAACATTGGGGTGCAGCTGCCCCTTAGAATGGCCAACCAGACACATGAAAAAATGCTTAACATTTTTCATCATCAGGGAAATACAAATCAAAACCATAATGAGATAGCACCTCATATCAGTCAGAATGGCTAAAATTAACAATTCAGGAAACAATAGGTGTTGACGAAGATGCAGGGAAAGGGGAACCCTCTTATACCATCGGTGGGAATGCAAAGTGGTGCAGCCACTCTGGAAAACAGTATGGAGGTTCCTTAAAAAGTTAAAAATAGAGCTACCCTATGATCCAGCAATTGCACTACTAGGTATTTATCCAAAGTTTTTTGTTGTTGGTGGTGGTTTTTTTTAATGGATTTGGGAATCTATATGTTCTGGTTCTTTATCCTTAGGCACTGAAAATGAAGATGCTAACAGGGAATATCACAATGATAATCAAGCAAGTTGGGTCCATCGTATGATAATGGCTTTGGTGAGTGATTCAACTTTATTCAATACCAGAGAAGGACGTGCTGGGAAGGTGCACAACTTCATGTTGGGCTTGAATCTCAATACATCCTATCCAATGTCTCCTCTGAAAGACTTGATGACACAGGAATCGTTGGATGAAGATGAATTGGATATGGCTGTAGCAGGTAAGCACACAAAACATAATCCATGGAAGCTAATTCAGGAGATCTTTATTCCTTTCGAGTGAGAAGCCTTTTGATTCTTGGCAATGCTTATCCATTTATGCTCAGGTACAGCAACATCTATTTAGTGTGTGAAGGGCTTCAAACTACTGGGAGTTTTTTGGGGGAAGAAAAACATTCATTGGACAGGAAATGGCATAGTTATGTCAGCATAGAAATTTTTCACTGAACCACTAAGGTGGGATGTTAGATCTTCTCTGTATTGGACAAGGTTCACTCAGAAAACAGGAAGCCTTCTCCCTTGCTTAACTGAGAGGGATTCGAAGTAGGGAATCAGGTGTTGACAAAGTTGTTCCAAGGCTTGGAAGAGCAAGCTCTGGGCTGATCTTCCAGGAAGGATTCCAAAAACACTTCAGAATCACCCCCACAAACGCCCCCACAACCGTGCCTGGCAGTGGAAATGGCAGAAATGTAGCCTCTGTCTCATTTCCTCCTTTGAATTTTCTGTGGGCGTTTCTCCTCTTGGCAGAGGGCAGGTCTTAGCAGACCCAGCACTTTTCAGAATCCTGGTTGATGTGGTCCTCAGCCCGACTCTGCCACAGCACAGGAGTTGCCTGCATTCCAGGGTTCCGAGGGGAGGTGACTTCATCAGCCTCAGAGTCTGTGAGGCTACTGAGTCTGTCCCTCTAGTTCTCAGAAAGGTTAGGTCACTTTCTTAAGGCCAGCTGGTAGGAGCCCACTCACTGCTGTGTCTGTTATGTTGCCAAATTCCAACGAATCATTCCCTTTCCTCTTCAGTTCCCTGCATATTTCAAATTAAAAGTTAAATTTGCCATGGTTACTAATCAATACATAATAATCTTTCTTATAATGATCCTAAATTTTTTTACATCTAAATCTTTCTACTTCATCATACCATCATTTTTCTGTTCACTGCCCAGATATCATTTCTCATTTATTTCTGCTTCAGGGCATCAAAAGCAGGATGCTCTAGAAATGTAAGTGGGATTTTTCCAAAAACCTTTCTTCTACTTTTTGGTGGAGCATCGTGCCTCTAAAATATTTGGAAAAATTAGGACGTGGCTTTAGGTTTGGTGCTGTTTCTGGTAGTGCTGTTCCCATTTGTTGTCTGAACTTAGGGGACATTGCAAAAGCAGGTTACCTTGTTTAAACAAGAGGAGTAGAAACTCACTATACTTTGCATTATGTTTATGGCATCCAAGTCTAGGATATGAGGTATGGTATGATTATTTACCTGCAAATGACACCCTTTCATATTAGCAGTGATAAAAGTCGATTTGTGATAAAGTCAATATCTGTTTTAAAATTCATCCAAAATTAAAAAAAAAAAGACAAAACACTTGCCATTAATCAATGACCTTATTTGTCTTGTGTCACGTGATTATAATTACTGCGATTAGAATGTGCATTAAATGTATATTCCTTAGAAACTGAGCCTTCATTGATGAATGATGATGGCTGTTAAAAAAACTTAGTCTCAAAGATCATTTAGAACTGAAAAGAATCTTTAGTTATTTTACTTTAGAAAAAAGAATGATCAAAGAGAGTCATTCTCACTGCCTACAATTTCTTAGCTGAGCTAGAATGGGGTCACAGACCTCAGTGTTGCTCCGAAGCTTTTCCTTTCTGCTACACTCCCTTCCCCAAAGCTTTGTTAGTCATTGTTTTGCTGATGTCAAATGGAAGTTTCCTTTCTGTGTACTATATTACATCTGTTTTATGTTATTACTTTGATCGAATTACCCAGCATAGCTCCTGTGATTTGCACAGCATGCATTCTGCACTCCACAGTTTAACAACTCCCTGGTGGTTTTGCAATACTTTATGTAGGTTCAGAGGTGTTTGGGTTGCTAGATCAAATACAGCAGGCCTAGTTAAATTTGAATTCGAAGCCATATATATGTGAGTATATATGTAGTGTGAGAAGACTCATGGACAGTTCTCATAAAGTAAAATGAGCAAGTAGAAAATGTAATCGTCTCAAAATACGGTATTACATCAATTAAAAATTCTTTTGTTGACCTATTTCGGAATGCACGAACCTAAAATTGTTGGAAAGACCCTTAAATTTTATTTCCTAGTGTTATAGCTCATAAAAATTCTATTTCACTCACTCTGTATTTATCTAGTTGAAGAAAATGTATATGGGATATTGATTTTAGTCAAGAATTTACTAAAATTGATTTAGTCAAGAATCCAGCCAGGTCAGTGATGAGTTCATTCAGATTTATAATTTACAAACTAACATTGCCAAAAATGACTGCATCTTAGACCAGATTTACTAAATCGATTAGTGCTCTCTCAGACAGTTGTTTACTTAGACAATGTCTCCTGATTATTTCCAAGTTTTAGATTAACCATGTATATGTAGTTAAAAGATTTATCATAAACTGTAATCATTTTGGTTCATAAAATCTTCATCAAAACTGTTTATTATAAAGGGGTACCTAGGTGGCTCAGTCGGTCGAGCCAGGTCACAATCTCAGGGTCCTGGGGTAGACCCCCACATCAGGTTCCACACTGAGCAGAGAGTCAGCCTCTCTCCCTCTGCTTCTGCCCCTCCCCCTACTTGTGTGCTCTCTCTCTCTCTCTAAAATAAATAAATAAATAAATAAATAAATAAATAATCTTTTTTAAAAACTTGATTTATTATACAGTTGAAAATACCGCAATTTAATTAAAATGTTAAGGTTATATCTCTTATTTTTGTACCCCCTTGCAAAATAGAAATAGAGATTTTTATCTTATCTAGATATTAAGAAAATCTTACATTTTAGTGTAGGAAAATCTTACATTTTAGTTGACCCTATGGTGATTTCATTTGTACCAAGTAAAATTTGAGTATTTTAGAATTAAAACAATCTCTCAACCTAAAATGAGAAAAAAAAAATAGTGCAGTCATTGTGCCTACTACTTCACCTTGCAGACAATCGTTTGAAAATAAGAAGAATAATAAGATGAGGGAATTCCTCTTGTTTGTTTATTTCAAAATAGTTGTATACCTTTAGAAACTAGGAGAAGCTGTCTATTATTTATGTGACTTCTTTCCTGTTTACTTTTGTGTTTACGTTACTTACTGTGACTCACAGCATCTGGAATTTTAAAAATCGAGGCATGCGTTGATTTAGGCCAGAGTTCAATACACAAACATCCAAACATTTTGTACATCATATATTGAATCTGTGTGAGGTATTTATATAAAATGACCATTGCAAATGCCCACAGGGGAGCTGCTTTAAGGAGATGGTACATCATTATAAAATACAACATGTTTCCACACCTAGCAAAGAACCTGATTAACTCATTTACAGGTTTAGAAACCCTGTATGTCTTGAGCTATGGGAGGATGTTCTTCCGTAGTGTCATTTATCAAACTCTCTCTGACATTGTAGTAGATGTTATATAATAAATTGGGTTCAAGTTCAAATAAATTTGGAAAAACTAACAACTCCATCTTCCTATTCACAATGCAATGGGATACTCTAATGAATTTAAGGAGCCCTACTCAATGTGCCTACTTGAAAAGCAGACTGGCTTACATTCAAATCCTAGATGGGCCACTATTAATGAGATGGTTTTAAATAGTTACTTAGCATAATCCTCAGTTAACAGTGTTAGAAAAACTAGAGCCAAACTAAAAACACACCTGATCCCCATGCAACCTGCAGCCTCAGGGCAGCGAGGTTGCAACAATGCTCACTCTTTTCCCCAAATAGAAAGAATAGTACCTGTCTTATACACTTCCTGGGAAGATTAAATAGCATCTTTCTTTCTTTCTTTCTTTCTTTCTTTCTTCTTTCTTTCTTTCTTTCTTTCTTTCTTTCTTTCTTTTTTAAGTAGCATCTTTATTAAAAAAGGCAGTTAGCCTAAGGCATAGTCAGGAGGATAGGAAACCCACAATCTAACATGGTCATTACATTAAGCTGTCGATCTATTTCTCAAACCCATTTGATCATGAAACTCTTATTTTGTGTAGAGAACATCTGTTAATATCTTGCAAAACTATTTTGTTTGCAACACAATTAAGAAACACTGCTTCTTTTCAATTTATTTGGAAGGGTGGAACCATGGTGTTTAGCTACATGCCAGAGCTGGAACTTGGTCACATAATGACCTGTCTCTCAGACATCATCTTGGATATAAAAGAAGAAAAGAGAGACTACCATTTTTGCGACAAGAAGGAGCATATCAAACAGAATATGAGAGAAGTGGTCTGTCTTGGTTAATCTTTTAGCTGAAATTCAAAAGAGCACTAAGTAGATGAAGCCAAAGAAAAATAGTTGTAAACTATCAGTATACTTTATTATATTAGGGGAAATCACTGCACTGTAAAAAACATTGCTAATGTGTTTTGCAAACATTTGTATTTACTTGTGATTAAAGACACATATTAGTGTGGTTTTAATGATTGACAGATGCATGTGTAGTTAGCCTCTCTACGTTGTAATTACTGCTTTTTAAGCCATTTCAGTTTTATGGCCAGCCACCTACTGAAGTAGCAATGTGACACACTGGGTCTAACAAGGGGACTAAGCAGAGGGCTGAGACCTGGGCCTGCCTTGGAATCCTATCACTGTGTGAAACTGGACCTCTTGGGCCTTAGTTTCCTTATCTTTATATATTTTTTAAGATTTTATTTATTTATTCATGAGAGACACACGGAGAGAGGCAGAGACATAGGTAGAGGGAGAAGCAGGCTCCCTGTGGGGATCCTGATGCAGGACTCCATCCCAGGATCTCAGGATCATGGCCTGAGCCAAAGGCAGATGTTCAACCACTGAGCCACCCAGGTGCCCCAGTTTCCTGATCTTTAAAATGACACTAATAATGGCTTTTCTGTAAGAGTCTCAAAGGATGATAAATCTCATATATGAAATTTCTAATGCATTAGAGAAACTCAAAATAAGTGAAGCTATTTTGAAGAGAAACAAAAGTACCCAAATACTGAACTTCCAGCCTCTTAGTAAAATATTTTAAAACAAATATAAGACAAGGACCCACAATTGTTCACCTTTAAAAAGCTTAAGCAAAAGTTTTTAAGCAATAAAAATTTCAGAGAAAAAAATATTAAAATCGTGTTTGATGATATATGTATTTTTCAATGTTACAATTCTTAGGTTCGTGTTTCTGTGACAGAATTTTAGAATTTTGGCTAGTAGCAAAGTACTTTGTCACTGCAATCCATAAGTACTTGATAGGAAAGGAGACTTCATCTGGAGGTAATTATTTACAGAATAATTTCTCTTTTCTCTCCTTGTTGGCCTAGTATTCACCTCAGACATAGCAAGACTTTTTTTTGTTTTTAACTTGGCCTGCCTTTTCATTTAGTCACATGACCTTATTCTTATCTAAAACCCTCTCCCTATTGCTTTTTTTTTTTTTATAGCATATTTATTTTTTTTGTTTAAGACCATTCATTCACACCTTGTCTCATTCACCAGTTCTGGACAGTACAAATCACCTCAGCTGTAAACTCTTTTTCTCTTCATTCATAAGCACACTAGTATATGTTTATAGCATTTGCTTGTTAGTATTCTAGGGATGAGAAATTTTAATAAATAGGAGAGAAGAAAACACATGACTCTCTGTTACCTGTAGAAACTTAGAAGAAGGGGGTGCCTGGGTGACTCAGTGGTTGAGTGTCTGCCTTCGGCTCAAGGCATGATCCTGAGGTCCTGGGATCAAGTCCCACATAGGGAGCCTGCTTCTCCTTCTGCCTATGCCTCTGCCTCTCTCTGTGTATCTCTCATGAATAAATAAAGTCTTAAGAAAAATAAAAAGAAACTTAGAAGAATAATTATGTTTTCTTGAGTAAGTCCAAACCTAATTTAGAACTGTTTCAATTCACATTGAATAAACCTCAAACCTAATTATGTTCACTGGTGCCCTTCAGATTTTAATGATGATGAAGATTGTGGATTTAATGGGACAGTAAGAATTGAAAGATTTGCGTTTCTTTGGGATCCCTTGCTCTTGAAACATAATGATAAAATTCACCATGAGAGGGTTATAGTCAGTATCATTCTTATTTAGAAATAGAGGGAAGAAACGAACATGCAGTAAGTTCCCACCATGTGAATATTTTTCTGGATAATAGGTAGTAACTACCTTGGATAGGTGATTCTGTAAACACAGGTCAGTCTGACCCTCTAGGTTTTATTGTTACCTCTTTGAAAAGACTTGCCAAGTAGAAGTTACAAGCTTTCTCAGAGATCATAATGCCTGTCTGGTATGAACATCCTCATGCTGTTCTGGAGCTTTCCAGCCTTCTTCTTAATAGAACAAGTGTGAGGATATGGAGACAGACCAAAACAATTGCATGTCATTTCATTCAACTCAAATCAGTTCAATTCTGATCATATCTCTTTTCCTGGGAAATGAATGAGGAGCCCCACACGTAAACGTGAAGAGGAGCATGTCACCAGTTTTTCTTAAAACGAATGATTTCTAGACTCTGCTTTCTTGCAGATCCTCTCATCATCTCATACTACTCTCCTCCAGTACTGTAGCTACAGTGGGCTTCTTGCTGTTCCTCAGACATACTGAGTCGGATTCCGCCTCAGGGCTCTTTCCTCTCCCTGGAAAAAGTAACCCCCCAAATCTTTGGATGGACCGTTCCAGATTCTTAATCTGGCCTCAGCTCAAGGACTTCTTCTCAAACAGGTCTCTCCTGATTATCCAACTGAAGTTACTCCCCATTCTATGACCCCCTATCATTTTCTACCATGTATTTAATACTGCCTGAACTGTTTACTGATTTATCAGTCACGTGCTCTGTTAGAGCAGAGTTTGCATCTTGTTTAGCGCCTAGAATAGAGCCCAAATAGTAACAGACAACAACACGTCTGCTGAATGTGTTGGCTGGATTATTTCCTCGGACTCCCCTCACTTTGGGAGATGCAGCGTGGGATCCATTCAGACTCTGCCACTGCCTCATTCTGTCACCGCAGGGATTAATTTATTTCATCCTCCACTAACAGATATGGTCGTACCTCACATGTCTGTTATGACAAAACAAGATAATGTGTGAGGAAATGTTTTTAAGCCAGTAAAGACCTCCTAGATGAGGTGAGGTAAGGCTGATAAAGCCATCATGATCGCAGTTAGACTTCATGCCAGGGCCTAAGCTAAGTACTTTCCATACATTGTCCCACTTAACTTTCACAGCACCCTTATTTCGTTCTTTTACCCAGACAGCACAGAAATTGAAACTGAGTCAAAGACAATGACTCATTTACAGGACCCATGCCCAGCTCTGTTTGATTTCAAAGCCTGAAGCCCTAATCCTATGAAATTCTACTTACAAATTTACATGAAAAATATATTTATGTTCTAGATAATGTTAAGTGGTCATTTAATTCATTCTTTTGTCTCTTTCCTTTTTAAAGATCCTGATGAATTTGAACAAATATATGAGCCCCTGGATGTCAAAAGTAAAAAGATTCATGTAGTGGACAGTGGCCTCACATTTAACCTGCCATACCCCTTGATCCTGAGACCCCAGAGGGGAGTTGATCTGATTATCTCCTTTGACTTTTCTGCACGACCAAGTGACTCTAGTCCTCCGTTCAAGGTAAGGAGAACTTACATAGCATTCCATTATCTAGCATGTTCTTTCTCATGCCTGGTATATATTGTAGTCCTCTTCGCTCCAGTTTCTCATCCCTTGAGCCTATTTTTCTACGTGATTATGAGTCCTATTTTAAAAACACAGATGTGATTCAGTTGCTCCCCTTCTTAAAGAAGCTTGTGAAAAGAAAATGAGAAAAATAGAAAAAGGAGAAACTTGTAAATGGTTCCCATGGCCCACATTAATAAAGTTCACAGTCTTAGGCAGAACAAGAATGATGCAACATATCTGAAGTTCAAGGAAATTAGGCTGAGATTTGGATGTTAGCAAGAAAAAGATAATTAAAACCATGCATGGGAAGTGATACTCAGAGAAGAGGACATAAAATGCTATTTTGAAGATCCAACAGCAATCATCAGGGGAAAATAACGAGAATCAAGGAATGTACAGTGTTGTAAAAAACAATTGAAGGTATTTAACAACAAGGAAGTCTTTGGTAAACTGGACAAAGGCAGTTTCAATAATGTTGTGAGGGCAGAAATCATACTGCAATGATTTGAAGGAGGAGTGGAAGATAAGAAAATGGAGATAGGGCACCTGGGTGGCTCAGTCAGTTAAGTGTCTGCCTTTGGCTCAGGTCATGATCCCAGGGTACTGGGATTGAGCCCTGTGTCGTGCTCCCTGCTCAGCAGGGAATCTTCTCCTCCCTCTCCCTCTGCCGCCCCCCACTGCTCATGCTCTCTCGCTCTCTCTCTCTCTCTCTCTCTCTCTCTTGCTCTCTCTCTCTCAAATAAATAAACAAAATCTTTTAAAAAATTGAGATAATCCTGTAGACTGTCCAGGAAAGAAGGAGATGTGCCGTGTCTGTAAGAGGAGGTGAGGAACAGGAAAACTGTGTACGTGGAGAGGTGGGTTGTTAATAGAAGAGATTTGAACGTGTTTAAATGCTGATGTCTGGGGGTCATTAATGAAGATGTTATTGGAGAATGGAGAGATGACGTATCTGATAGGGTCACAGCCCTGGGAAGGTTACAGGGGTGAGGAGTGCAAAAGAGATATAAAAATACAGGTGGAGAGTAGTATAGAAACATCTATATTAGGGCAAGAGAGGAGGGAGAAGATGATGGCTGCGGGTGGAAGTTCACTGTTTACCTAACAGCGAGAGGAGAAGTTAACAAAGTACTCATCTGATGACTTTTCACCCTTGTAGAAATTAGAAGTCATTATTATCTTTTGAGGGTGAGAAGGTAGAGGTGGTGAAGCCAGGGTTGTGGGGAGAATACAAGTCTGCCTCTGAAGAAATAAGAACAAATTCTGAATAGGCCACATATATTGCTTAGCAGCACTGTGGCCTCACCCATGTGAGACCGTAAATGTTACTCTTTCCTCCTCCTGGAACACCTCAAACTTTCTTTAGATCATCTCAACTGTTACCTTTCCTGACCAACACAGCTAGAGTTTCAGTACAAAGGACTTAGTAGATTCTTCTAACACGGCAATGTTCATGGTGTATGGTCTATATCTGTTTACAATATATAAATCTCTTCCACTGTCTGTGAGCTCCTTGGGCACTAGGACACTATTCTGAATGTATGTTTTGTTTTAATCACTTGGTTTTAATTGTATTATAAGTGCCAGCCGAAGTATGAGTAAGTCATTTTTTGTGAGTGAATGAATGAAATGCTGTAAGAGTGATAGAGTTATTAACCCTATTTTGATAGAGTAAGAAATGGAAATTCATAGAGATTAAGTGAAACTGTCCATGATCTCCCAACCAGGAAGAGCCAGTGATAACCCAGGACCTCTGACATCTCCTTTCCTTCCCATTATACTGTGATCAAACTGCTCTCAAGATTAAGAGTGGCTATCACAACAACTCTTTAATATATATAAAGTCTCATATTTTAAAAATGCTTTCATGTTTGATTTTTTTTTGAGGCAGTTAATCACTAGAAAACAAGGATTGGTGAAATAGGCAATTTCATCATATCAACAATTTAAGTAAGATAATGGGTGAACAGAACATAGCCCAGGACCTGGCTGGGAAAGTGCTAGCTATGAAGTGGTCAAGCTGGACCAGATTCGAAGACTCCAGAGTGGCAATCTAATGATCTTTCCCCTTCACTAGCTGCCTCCTTTGAATACATCGTACATGTACTTTTTTTCTGTGCAGTGTGCTGTGTACAGCAGTTAATGATAAACCATGGTTCTTGATCTCTGTAACATTTTAGCTTTCTTGGGGGAAAGACTTTTATATATAAGAGTCATTTGGAAGAAAAATAAGAAAAATATTGATAAATAGTTACTTGACTTTATATAAGCATGTGTATTATGGGCAATCCATATAAGAATAGATTGGTGTGTCCTGGAGCAGATGAGCAGGGAAATAATTAGAATAGGATGAAAATGGCACATGGATGGCAGTAGACCAATCTGAAGAAATGGAGCAATCTGGTTAGAAGTGATAAATATTAAGCTCCCATCAGGAGGGCTTTAGGGCTGGATGATGGGAAATAGAGAGTCAGTGATGGGTTTGCAGCTGACAAATAACTTCATGAAATTGGAATTTTAGGATGATTAATCCCACAGTGGAAAGTAGGATGAATTGGAGAATGAAGAGCAAAGATTAAAATTAAGAAGGATTTTACTGCAGAGCACCTGAGTGGCTTGGTCAGTAAAGCATCCGACTCTTGATCTCAGCTCAGGTCCTGATCTCCACGTCGTGAGCTTAATCCCTGCATTTTTTTTTCCTTTTTAAAGATTTTATTTATTTATTCATGAGAGACACAGAGAGAGAGGCAGAGACACAGGCAGAGAGAGAAGCAGGCTCCACACAGGGAGCCCCATGTGGAACTCAATCCTGGGACTCCAGGTTGCACTCTGGGCCAAAGGCAGGCACCAAACTGCTGAGCCACCCAGGCATCCCACAAGCCCTGCATTAAAAGAAAAGTTAATTTTTTTAAAAAAAGAGGGATTTACTATAATCCAAGCATAAGATAATGAAGTACTGTCCAGGTGAGGTGACCAAGAAAGCCAAAAGCAGGATTTGATGACCCATGAGCAGCAGTGGGGAGGTGAGTTCCAATGTATGACTCTAAGATGACATCTTAGAAACTGGTTCTGGAGGTGGAAGAAACTGTATTATTCATTTCACCAATGGGAGTGTAAAATGTCAAAGCCATCATTTTATATATGAATCACAGCTCTACTACTTCATGAGTTAATATTGGGAAGGTTTTAGAATATCACTTTGTACCTCTCAAAAGAACCATTGTATTTTGTCGTGGTTTTTATTTTTTATTTTATTTTTTTTGTCGTGGTTTTTAAATGCACTTTCATTCATTATTTCTAATTAAGAATATGTACTTACTGTAAAAAAATTTGGAAATTTGGAATATATGTCATTTCTATTATTCATAGACAACAGCTGCTGGTATTTTACTGTTTTCCTTTAGTCTTTTTTTTTTTTTTAAAGGAAAGCTTTTTTTTTTTTAATTTTTATTTATTTATGATAGTCACACAGAGAGAGAGAGAGAGAGAGAGAGAGAGGCAGAGACACAGGCAGAGGGAGAAGCAGGCTCCATGCACCGGGAGCCCGACGTGGGATTCGATCCCGGGTCTCCAGGATCGCGCCCTGGGCCAAAGGCAGGCGCTAAACCACTGCGCCACCCAGGGATCCCTCCTTTAGTCTTTCTTGTGTGTGTGTGTGAACACCAGGTTCATACAGCTTTGCATTCTGCTTCTTTCTACTTAAAATTATATTATGAGCATCTTCCCATATTGTTAAATATTTTTTAAACATAATTATAAATACAGCATGGTATGTAAATATCCAAGAATGTTTTAACAATGCTCTGTTTTTGACTTTCAGATTATTGCTATCTTGTCACTTCTTCTAGTGATCATCCTCACATGTGAATCTTTAATCACACTTTTTATTAATTGCTTGGCTTCTTAGATATGGATTAGTTTAGGATTTTAATAAATATTTTAAGATTGCTTTCTCATAGAGTTGCACCAAATTACATTACTATATCAGATTGTATATGCAAGTCCTTGTTTTACATTGCTGTGCTGGCTGAAAAATATTAAAGACAAAGTTAAAAAAAATTTACAATATGACAGAAAGAAAAATACGTTTTGCTTCAATTTTTCTGCTTTGCTTGTGAGAGTAAATAGTTTGCCATGACTATTATATGCTCATGTTTTTAAACTATTTTTAATTAGATCATTAGTATTACTGCTATTATTATTTTATAGCTTAAGGATATTAAAGTTTATCTTATTTTTGCAAATATGATCTAATGAGTCTTTTGTATAGGTTTTTTTATTTCTGATGATTTTAACATTTTAAATATTTATGTAGTCACTTCTCTCACTGGTTTTATTCTTGAAATTCATATTTAACAAGACCAGTTGCACACAGATTGATATTTTTCCTTTTATGATATACTTTTAAAGTATTCTAACTCATTAATGCATTTTTCAAGCTCATTTGGAATATTAAAAATGATTTTTTCAACTTATGAGCGTTATAATTGTCATTATAAAATATGCATTTCTTTGTGGATCTAAAAGATTACCCAAATATAATAATAATCATTATTATATTATTTTTTAGAGAGAGGAGGAGGTGGAGGGGCAGTGAGAGAGGGAGAGAGAAAAAGAATTTTAAGCAGGCTTCATGCCCAACCCAGAGCCTGATGCAGGGCTCTATCTGACAACCCTGAAATCATGACCTGAGCCAAAACCAAGAGTCAGACACTTAACTGACTGAGCCACTTAGGTGCCCCTGAAAGATAATTTTTAAATTGATATAAATACTACACTATTAATGCTGAAGTAGGACACTTATTTTTTTATTATTTTCAGGATATTATTTTAGATATAATATAGTAAGTTTAAAAATTGATGAGGAATCTACATGAAGTTTTTTGACAGGAGGGGCAAAGAAGCTCCAGTGTAATAACAGGATTTTATTATATCAGTTAAATAGTAAGTAG